GAAGGGGGCTTATTTAGGAAGCTTCTCCTTGGAGGGAAGTTCTGGCTGAGACGAGACCTGAGGAGTGCTCAGTCCAACAGCCCAGAGCAGAGGGGTTGGCTTTGCTCCTGGGGGGAGGGAAGTGGTGCGGGAGAGGCGCCCCAGGATGGGGCTGCCCCCCTCACCCAGGCCGTGCCAAGCAGTGGTGCTGGGGACCCTGCTGGCACCACTGCGGGGGACAGCCAATTTCATGAGAATTCCCTGACAAGAAACTAGAGACAATTCCCAACTTGTGAAGCGGCACTGGCAGCTCTCAAGGACTTTATACGAGTGCAGCAGTTGGTGGAGGGTTCCTACCCATCTGGATCTCTCTTTTTCCTTCTCTCCTCCCTCCTCTGAGGGAGGCCCTGTCCTGAGGAGACAGCTTTTTTTTTGACCCTTGCCTTGTTTTGATTAACCTCTGGGTTTCTGTTCACTTGGCAATCTCCTGCTCTTACTTGCTCCAAAGGATTAAAGCAATTTTTTGGATTATTTTTTGTTAAAAGAAGAAAAAAAAGTCCTATTATTTCAGGAACTGAAAGCTTTAAGGATCTGGATTATTTTCTGTGGTTCTCATTTCACTGCACCTAATACCTGCTTTAATGTGTTTCCTCTCAAGAGGCTCTTACTGGTTTACTTCTTGTCTTAGTTTCTGCTCACTCTAGTTCAAGGCCACTGCAGTGCAGAGGCAGATTTCATCCTTTCTCTGCACATTATCCTGTGTATTCAGCAGGAAACAGATTTTCTAATTAAATGCTGAGCTCATTTATTGAAGGAGCAGCTTCCTTCCTTTCAGAAAAGAAAGGGTGTTCAAGGTAGAGAGAGGAGACACCAGAGCTCTTTTGAGAGAGACTGGGGGGGAGGGAAGGGAAATAAATCCTTATTCTTTGAATAAAACAAACAAACACACCCTAAATTCAGAGCAAAATATCCCCAGAGCAGCAAATCGAGTCCATGCTGATGTGTGGAGACAACAGGAGCTTTTGCCATGTAAAAGCCAAAAGAAGTGAAGAGAGGATCTGTGTGCCCCAGCCCAGTTTTAGCCTCTGCATGGCTGCAAGGAGTTTCTGCTCACACAGACAGACTCCAAATGCTCCTGGAAAGCGTGGCACCCCTGTCCTGGAGCACCTGAGGACAGAGTGCTGTCTGCTCACAGAGAAATTCCTGCAACATCTCGCCACAGATGGAGATGGACTTGGACTTTGTGACTTCTTCCATATTTGAGACAGGAAACGCTCAGCACTCGCCTTTGGCCAGTGTTTGATGACAGGACTGAGAGAAGAAGGACATTCCTGAAGTTTGGCTCTCCAAAGCTTCCTGAGGCTGGACACATCTTGGGCATCATCTGCATCCACCACCAGACCAAATAAACAGCAGGGATGCAGCAGCAGGAGTGACCCTGGGATGCTCCTGGCACTGCCACAGTGGTGACATGTGGCCCTGGTGGCTCAGAAGGCCTTTGCTGTGACTCCTTCCAAGAGGCTGAAGGTAAGGCAGCTCTCTGGCATTCTCTCCTCAGAGCTAAACTGTGGATATTCTCAGTTCAGTCAGAGAGAAACAGATGATTTCTGCCAGGCTGAGCCTGGGAAAAATCCTTCTCTGTTTCTCTCTGACTGAACTGAGAATATCCACACTAAACTGGTCGTAGAATGTCCTGTAGAAAACTTGCCCTGAGATAAAAACTCAGATGAAATGGGATATGAATCATTGGGGTTGGGAAAAAGGGGAAGGGAGAGCCAGCCCAAGGGAAATACAGGAAAGGGAAAAGTTTCCAAAGAGGGCAGTATCCCTGATATCCTACATTAATCCTTTCTGATTACTGTGGCAAAAGAATGGGAAGCTTCTTAATTAGCCCAGCCCCAGGACCTGCCTTGTCCTTCATGGAGAACCTCTGGGCTTGAGTCCCCACCTGAGGCAGCACAGCTCAGGTCCATGCACAGCCAGAGGAGCTGCAGGTCTGCTCTGCATCCCTGCTGGGAGCTGGTCTCGGGAATGGTGTGAGCTCTCCTCTCACTTGTTCCCAGTGTGTCAACAGCTCTGTGTGCAGGGAAAGGAGCATTTCTCACTAATGACCCGGGCTGAGTGATGGGGGAGTGGGAGTCACTGCTGAGGATGAGCTGGCCGTGTATTACAAGCTTTGTCTCCTCTTGCTTCCAGTGACTCACTCAGATCCTCCTCTGAGAAGGAATCACTTCGCAGCATGCAGCATTTGGGAGGAAAGCCACAGAAAAAGCTGCAAAACAAAGGCTTCAACATCAGACCTGCACTCAGGACCCTCAGCCACCAACAGCCAGATCCACCACCTGAAGGAAAGACTGGCACAGGTAATTACATCCCACATTACCTTGTGGGCCTTAATCTCCCCAGTGCCCTGAGATATTGAACAGCCCAGGTGCAAACACCTCTGCTGGTCTTGAAACCTCAGTCCCAGGGGCTGCAGCAGCCTGGCACCACCAGAGAGGTGGGAAACCAAGAACCAGCCCCATTAATTGATGCTCCAGGGACTGCACATCGTGGCTTTCCCTTGGCTGGACCATGGGCAAATCCTTAGACCCCAACAGCTGGTGGGTCCTCCAGGCTGCAGGCACAGCAAAATTTAATCCCAGCTCCTTAGAATCCCCCCTTTCTACCCACTTCCAAAATCTAATCATGGTGCATTTTTTTTTTTCCTTTTACAGCAATCCCTTGCTGCTGTTGCTGAGATTCCTTCTCTGTGTCCAAGAGCTTTCCCAGGGGAGAAGAAAGTGCTGCAGGAAGACAGAGGGCAAATCATGCACCAAAGAGCCTCCCATGCAGTGCAATGCAAACATTCAAGGTGCTGAGAGCCAGAATGAAGCTGGGAAGCTGCTTCCAGCAGGACAGAGAAAAGCCTGAGCTGGTCCAGGTACTCCAAGCACAGAGAAAAGTGCTGAGAATGGAAAGAGAGGCCGGAACAGAAGAACCAAGTCCAGGCTTTGGGGACAGCAGGGATGCTGACTCTCTGTGGAGAGGATTCTGCACCTCTGCAGTCTGGGGCTGCTGGGACTCGCCTGAAGAAATCTTCACTAGAAAGTGATCTTCACTGAAAAAACTTTCCTGATTAACTTTGCCAAGGGGCTGATCCTGCCTTGGCTACGAACCCTCCCCGCTGGCCGTGCTGTAACTCACCTCTCCTGAGTCGTTTCATGCGGGTATCAGTTCCAAACCTCAAAGGGCTCCCGGAGTTTGGAGAAGCATCCCACCGTCCAGATGCTTGTCTGAACTGTTGGAGCCTGCACATCTGGGCCAGCTGTCTTGCCAGCAAGGAGCCTTGTGAGACAGCAGGCGCTCTCTGGGTCTGCATGGGCCAGAGTTACTGCAAGAACTGGGGTTCTTGTGCTGGCTTTGGAGTGACTGTTTCCATCCAGACCCAGGGAGCCCAAAAAGAGCTCGAGTGAGCTGGACAAGACAGTTTTGGTTCATCTCTCAGCCGAAGAGGTCCAGTTGGTTCCTCTCTCTTCCAGAGCCAACTGTCCTGGGTGTGGGTGTGGGTGTGGGTGTGGGTGTGGGTGTCAGTGTGGGGGGTGTGTGTGTGTTGAGCAAAAAAAAAAAAAAATCCACATTAATTAAATTCTGTGATATTTTGTTGTATTTGAATTAAGCCAGAGGGACCTAAGGCACATTCCAACAAGGCTAAAAAAAAAAAAAAAAAAATCCACATTAATTAAATTCTGTGATATTTTGTTGTATTTGAATTAAGCCAGAGGGACCTAAGGCACATTCCAACAAGGCTCAGCAAAAATGTCCAGGACTAGAAAATTCCATAAAACCATGTAAAGGCAGATTCCCAGGAATCATCTTAAGGTCTAAATGATATTTGATTTTGAGGTGCTTAATTTCCACAGTCTCTTCCAAGGGACTAGACTGCCTCAATAGGCATTTTATTTTTCCTTCTCTTTTAGGGAATTAGCCTGTCTGTGCTACATTTGGTCCTGAGTTTTCTACATTTTCAGCTGGCTTTTTGGAGTGTGCAGAACTGAATCTCCTGGACTGATTTGATTTCAATTGTTGCTCCCAGCGAATTGGAGCTTTACTTGTAGCACCCTGGTTTTTATTACCAGCCTCTCCAGGAAGGACTGGTAGTTTATTTTCCTGGGGCAGAGACACGTGAATGAGAAGCGTGGATGTGTTGTACCTCTAGAACTTTAGCAGATTTCAACCACTGCATTTTTTTCCTCCCTAGGTGATTTTGCATTTACTGATGAAACAACTTTAGAGTTTTTATTTTTACTAGAGATATTATTAATTCAAGCAACCTTGTGCAAAAGGCAAACACGTCGAATCGCTGCAGGTTGTAGGGGTTGAAGCCAAAAGGTCTTTGTAAGCCGACATCACCTGCCCTGGATCTGACTGGATCAGGCAGTTTATTCCTCATGGGTCATGTTGGAGTTACAAGATCACACCAAGCCACTAGAGCCTGTGGGTAGAATAGTGCTACACTCGATTTGCTATTGTAGCAAAGCCTTTTGTAGATTTATACAATAAAACTTTGAAATATCTGCTTCAATCGCTTCCTGCCTCATTTTCTGGTCTTTCTTCCTTGGTTCATGGGTGACTAGAGTATCTACTGCCCTCTGAAAATTTGGGGTTATTGGGGTTATCTGGCTTATAAAAATCATTCTTCTCAGCAAAAGCATGTGGTTGACATAAAAATGAAATGCACTGAGTTGTTCAGACCCCAAAACTGAGTCAGAGGTAGCCCATAAGGTTGGGAGAAGGGGCCGTTCACAGAAGAGCTGAGGCAAGACAGGACTAGGTAAAGAAATTAAACCTCTATCAGCTCCCTTTGACAACCAGAGAGCCTTTGTGGGTGATAAGCACCCACACCCAGCAGAGATCCAGGAGCTGGGGCTTTGTTATCTGATGCATTCTCAATTCCTTGGGTTCATTACCTCTAAAACATCCTGGGGTTATCCAGGCTGGAGTCAGGGAACACAGCAGGGAAAGGAGCTCAAAGTGTTTTGAAACAAAATGTTTATTTTTAGCAATAGATTGATTGGCCCCGAAGATGTTCAGCTAAAGGACTCTGCCTCTGCAAATCCTCTTCCAGAAATCTTTGCGCTCAGATGGATTTAGCCCCATTCCCTGCTCCATCCCTGGTCTTTCTCCAATGAAGTAAAACAGTCCAGGGTGGGTTGAAACTGGCAATGTGCACTTGAGTGGGTCAGCTGGAGAAATAAAAGGAGTAATTCCGTTTACAAACGGAATAAATGCCCAATGGACCTCCCGGAGGTCCCTTTTGAGCTCAGGTTGGAGAGGCAAAGACGATCTGAAGGCCAAAGGTGCCTCAAGGAGAGCTGCTGACCTTGGAATCTCCAGCTCTTTGCAACTCTTCAACCACAAACTCTTGGCAAGACTGAGAAGGAAACTTTTGAAGGTGCGACTTGGTTCCACCACTGAACTCTGCTTTTGTCGCCAGAATCAGTGAAAAAGTGGGGGGAAAAAAGCATTAAGGGGACAGACCAGTGACAAAAGTTCTTCCAGTGTCACCTCAACCTGTGACATTGTAGAGAAGCTACAGGTGAACAGGTTTAGGCTTTTCATGGTCTATGGACATGGCCAAAAGTGCCATCAACAACCTGATCCTTGCAGAACAAAACAGCAAGAGCTGCACCAACCCTGCCAGAGTTCAAGAAGCATTTGGACAACGTTCTCGGGCCCCTGATGGGATTTTTGGGGTGTTCTCTACAGGGCCAGGAACTGGATTCGCTGATCCTTGTGGGTCCCTTCCAATTCAGGAAATTTGAGGGTACTGAGCTCAGCTGGAGGTGCTGAGCTCTTCCAGCAGAGGGGGGCAGAACTCCACTGTACACTGTGGGAATTCAAACCAGGAAAAACGCTAAAGAGGGAAAAATCTGTCCTTGTCATCATCCATCCCCACATGGCCCATTCCCACAGGACACAAGATCAGGGGCTGCTTCAGTGAGCGAGGTCTGAGAGAACGAGCAAAGAGAGGTTGTGTGGAGAAGGGAGGAGGACTGACGGCCAAAACTGCACTGGAGGAACATGGACTGGATGGGAATGGGAGGTGGGAAAGGGAGATGAGACTGGAAAATGCCTGCCTACGCCAGGTAAACTCATAAGGTTTCCAATTTTGTCCCAGAGTCTTCCAGGCTTGACTGCAATCATTATTGTTTCCTTACTTCTGACAGTTCCAGATGAAAATCACTAGACAGTCATAGGACCTACACTCATTAATTAATGAAAAACTGCCTTATTACTGCTCCCGGCTCTCAGAGTAGGGAGTGACCAGGAATAGATGCAGCCCAGTGATGGATTGACTGCCTCAAACTACTGAAATCCCATTCAAAACCAGAGTGGGAACCATCCCTATGTTTTCTGGGCAAGACCCAAAATGCAGAGGTATTCACAGAGGAAACAGCCTCAGGTTTCACCAGGAGTGGTTTAGATATCAGGAAAAAATTCTTCACTGGAAGAATTGGAACACTCTGGAATCACCGTCCCTAGAAGTGCTCAGAAGCCTTGTGAATGTGGCACTTGGGGACAGGGATTAGTGGTGGCTCTGGCCATGCTGATGGTTGGACTGGATGATCTCAGAGGTCTTTTCCAGCTGTAATAATTCCATGATTCCATAAATGGTGGAGAAGGTGTGTGAGGCCAAGCACTTACAGAACTGAGAAAAAGATCATCAATTCTTGATAATTTTTACTTGATAATTTTTATTTTCTTCTTTCTTTATTGTGACTACACTGATGGGCTCCTTTATTTGTTTATTCAGGACAGCTTAAAGAAGAAGCCAAGACGGAGCCAAGACTGCACATACAAATTATTTTATAGACTCATAAAATGATTTTGGTTGGAAGGGATCTTAAAGATTATGCAGTTCCACCCCCCTGCAAAGGGCAGGGCCACCATCCACTAGACCAGGTTGCTTTGTTTCTTTTTTCCCTTTGTTTTTAGCCTTTTTGTTTGTCTTTTATCTCATTTTTTAATCAAAGCGATTGCACCATTCAGTGATGTAAATCATATTTATTGACTTTCCAGGCAGGCCCTGTGTGTGTGCACAGCCCAACTGCTCCCCTGGATCTCCTTTTTCCACATAATTAGGAAGGCTGTGAAATTTCCATTATTGACACAATGGGCTCTAATGGCTCCACTTATCACATCCGAACTGCTCCGGGGTGCTCGAGCCCATCATGGAGCAGGAAGTTGTCCCAGACCTGTTCCTGCAACACTTATTTGTACCAAGGATGAGTTTAAGGCAGTTTTTTCTATTTTTGCAGCTGATTTTTAATCGTTAGGAATTGAAAGGAGACTTGCTGTGTACGTCCGGCTCAATTCTTGACACAGTTTGTGGCGATTTTTTTGGAATACATGGCCATTTTCCTTACTTTTAAGATATATTTAGGGATTTTTGTATCCTGTTAAATTAAAGTGAGCCTGCAGTGTGTGTGTGGTTTTCAGTCCTTTCATCTTGGATATTTATCAACTTTCAGCTCGTTAATTCATATGTCTGGAAGGGAGCTGGAGTGGGAATTTTACAAGGGCATGGTGTGATAGGACAAGGGGAATGGCCTTAAGATGAAAGAATTTAGATTTAGATGGATCATTGGGAAGAAATTCTTCTCTGTGAGGTTGGGGAAGCTTTGTAATGGAATTTCCAGAGAAGCTGTGGCTGCCCCATCCTTGGAAATGTCCAAGACCATTTGGACAGGGCTTGGAGCAGCCTGGTCCAGTGGAAGGTGTCCCTGCCCGTGGCAGGGGGTGGAATTAGATGATCTTTCAGGTCACTTCAACCCAAACAATTTTCTGATCCCATGAATTTATATCCTGCAAAACCAGGAATTCCCAAGCTCACTGAAAGCCTTCACCTTTCTGATACGGAGTTGATGAGTTGATTCCATCCCTCCTACACATGCTCAGACAATACTACATTCAAAAAAATTGAAATAATGTAAAAAAATCAGTATTTATGAATCTTACAGAACCACTTAGTGGCATAAAGTGTTTTGTATTTTTCTAAGGGAATTGAATCTTGACATCTTCAAAATGAGCTTTTTGGCTTCTTCTTTCTGAAAAACAGCACTTAAAAACTGACTTCAATTTAAAAAAAAAAGAACAGAAAGAAAGAAAAAAATGTAAGAAAAAGGTTAGAAAGCTGAAAAAAGAACTTGAATTTACTAGTTTAGGACTCTGAGGTCTGTGCTGAGTTAGTGCAAGAAGAAATGTCTTTTTCCAGCTTCATTTTAATCAACGGAAATATCAGGAGAGTTTCTCATCTGACCTGACTGTGGTTTATTTTGCCCTTACCTGATTTGATTATTCAACTAAATAAACTCAGATATTTCCCTTGTTGAGGATTTCCACTCTCTGTGCTCTTCTGCTGTGGGAATTTCAGGGACTTAGAATATTCTGAGTGTCACTGGAATGGTGTGAAACCCTTCCTCACCCAGAACATATATGCCCAAGAGGGTGAAGGGATAATTTCTCTTTGTGACCAGGATTACAAAACCTGTTTTACACACTTAGAAAATTACAAATCCAGTGGAGGGCCCAAATTCACTGGTAATTTTGACAGCAGGAAAAAAAGCCAAACTTCAGGTTTTTACCTTAAATAACAGCCTTAAAATCCATCCTAGGTATGGGCGGTGGTGTCAGGGCAGTACTTGAGGAAGTCTGTGCTGATCGCAGAATCCCAGAATGTTTTGAGCTGGAAGGAACCTCCAAGATCACCTCATTCCACCCCTGCCAAGGGCAGGGACACTTTCCACTATCTCAGGGTATTCCAAACCCCATCCAGCCTGTCCTGGAACACTTCCAGGGATGGAGCAGCCACAGCCACTCTGGGCAACCTGTGCCAGGGCCTCACCACCCTCCCAGGGAAGAATTCCTTTCCAACATCACTTCTAAATCCACCCTCTGGCAGTTTGAAGCCATTCCCCTTGTCCTGTCCCTCCATCCCTTGTCCAAAGTCCCCCCCCCAGCTCTCCTGGAGCCCCTTCAGGCCCTGGAAGGCCACAGCAAGGTGTCCTTGGTGGTGGCCTCAGCAGTTCTGGGCTAAAGATTGGATTCAATCATCTTGGAGGTACTTTCTTACCTAAACAATTCCATGATTCTCCAATCACAGAAAGACCATCAACCTGCATTCCCTGCAGTCCTAGAGTCACTGGGGACATTCCAGGTGGTGTTCCCTGGTTTTCCAGAGGAGGCAGAGGTTGGAGAGGGGAATTTACTAAATATCCAAGGGTGAAGGCAGGAAGGAAAATGACTGCAGACCCCTCTGTTCTGTGTAGGACCTCCACCAATATCTTATTTTCTGAGCTCACATCCACCTCACGCAGAACATTTCCCATTTCCTGGTGTAGAAAATGAAGGACGTGGATGAACTGGAAGCAGAGGACAGGGTGGCCTTTCCTGGAAAGCATCTCCATCACTGCTCTGTGCTTCCCCTACCCAGTTTCCTCAGAAATCACCATTTTTTTCCCCTTTATGTTCAGTAAAGATTCCTAAATCTCCTTGCAATCAAGTAAAGGAAACACCAATTCTTTATTTCCCAAAGATCTTTGTCCCTGAGGACTCCCCTGCACAGAGACTTCCAGAAAAACAAATCCAAAGCGAACCGAGGCATGGCCATGTCAGAAATTACTTGGAAGAATTTCAGACCCGTGTCTTCAATTTAATTTCAGAATTAAGGTGACCTGAATGCAGTGTGGTTCACTTCCCTTTGGCTTGATCAGAAAGGCGTGTCTGGGAATGAATTAAGCTTGGCTGAATTAATGCCACCTTTGATACTCATTAAGTTTGGACACCCGGGCGTTTCGGCCAGCCTAAGTTCTTTCATTGCAAAAATCAGTGCTGAGGGCTGAGGGAAGGCTGGAAATCTGCACAGAAACTGCTGGAAGAACATCCAGGCTGAGATAATATTTTTTGCTAAAACCTGTCACCGGCAAATTCTGCTCCATGGCGCCATGGACGCTTTCCTGGGAATCACAGAATGGTTGGGTGGGGCTTGGAGAGACTTGGGATTGTGGTGATTTCCCTGTCCATGTCAGGGTTTGGAATGAGATCTTCTTGAAGGTCCCTCCCAACACAAATTATTCCATGATTCTGTGATACTGAGAGAGCAGGCATCTTGTCTTTCTCTTTCCCACTCATCCATGAGTGCCTGTCCAGGACAAGACCTCCCAAATATTCCCAGATTTTGCTGAGCACCAGGATATTGCCTCCATCACAGTTAATACAAATGAAATTCAAGTTAAAGATCACTTCAGCACAGACTGATACAGCTTTGCATATTGACTGTACAACCTCAGCAACTGGAATGGCAGAGAAATGCCATGAAAATCCAGGAAATGCTGCTTCCTCTACACCTTTCCTATACGAGTTTGGAACAGCTGCTAAATGTATTTTTTTTTTTTAATATGTCACATAGAATCAAGCAATATCATGCAAAATCTACATTTTCCTTCACAATCATCACCGGATTTTTTATTTATTTTACCTTAAATCAAGTCAGATAAAGAGGCTGAGCCCTTTCAACATCCCTGATGTTGCCTCCTCGATCAAGGCACCAAGAGGATGAAAAACAGGGGAATATCAATACACAGAATCACCTCAGGAAATCCGGGATGTTTGTTACCTGTGTCAGCAGAAATCACCGCCTGGCATCCCCTCTAGAAAAACAGTGGAGCTGTGCTGGCTAAAATCTGCAGAGAGAAACAGAAGAGATGGGAGAAAGGAAAACAAACAGGGGGATGTCTGCCTGGTGAGGTTATTTTGAATTCCTTTGACCCAGTGAACTCAGGCAGAGCTGCCTCTCCAGGAACTGGACATATTTAGTGCCTGATTTCCAAAATCAGCATCCCATGGATGTCACAAACCTGGACATCAGTTCTGTTGGCCACTGATTGGACCCAAGTCCTCCCAAACTTTCCAATATGTTCAGGGCATAGAAGAAAAATCTAATTTTCTGCCCCTTTTGACACTGATGTGGCTTTAGGCATCCACTTTTTTCTGCTTTTATTAAAGATTCTCCCCACAGCTCATGAAGTCATTGCTTAATCTCAATTTCCTTGCAATTCAGACTATCAGGAGAAATCAAGGAATTTTGTTTTCCCTTCCTGTTCAGCCATTTGTCTGCAGTTTTACCTGTTTGCTGAAATTGGGGTGTGATCACAGAGTCCAAAGCTGCCAATCCAGCACCTTTGCCATGGCATGAGAAAAGCTTGGGGGAAAAAAAAATAAAAAGCAATAAGGAATTATTTTCAGAATAAATAAAATAAGGAAGCCCTGAAATGCTAAGGCCCTGCCATGTAGGACTTTAATAAACATTCAGAGCTTGTTCCTGTGCTGCTGAGGCTTTACCTTTCAGAAAGTACAAGGTGTCAATCAGGATTTTCTCTGCTGGAAGCAGGAACCCAAATCTCTATGGAAACCAGAAGGAGGTGACGGTGCCTATGGAAAGGTTTTCTGCATAGATTCCCATCCTCACAGTTTACATTTGCTAGAGATTTTATTGCCACTGTAGTTCTCAAAAAAATAAAAAGTGTTTTGTCTTCCTTGGACTGCACATTCTCACATTGTTCCCTCTCCTTCTCCCTCCTCCAGCCTCCGTCAGTGAATCCTTTGGTTTAACTTATTTAGTGCCACATTAGAAAAGATTAAATTACAGATGTAGGTGAAAAATTAATCCAGTCCACTGAATCCTTTCCACAGAGGATGTCAGGATCTAATGAGGATTTGCATCCCTGCAGGATGGATTTGAACAGGGATGTGCAAGCAGAAGGGATTTTTTGGGAGTAGGCAGGGGCCCCACTGCAGCACAACTGTCCATGGGAGAACATGAAAAAGGAGTTTTTCAATTCAAAAAGTATCAGATCCTGACTTCATTCAGCCCTGACTTCTTGAAACACAGCCCCACATTTTCCTGTTAGGCAGCTGATCTCAGAACCCTCCAGCATCTCATCCTGAGCATCCCAGAGGAGCATCCTGCTCACAGTTCCTTTTCTTCCCAGAAGCCAAGCCAGGAAACAAAGCCCTCAGAGCTGCTCTGTGGGTGGGTGGTTTCCTTTTTTCTTTTGTTGCTCCCTTTCCAGCTCTTGAGCGAGACAAAAAGAGAAATCGTTGAGTTATTCAACATCTGAGGAGCTGAAGGGGTGAATTCACCACTGGAGAAAAGTTCAGGACTTGTTCTGTGCCCGCCATGTAGGAGCCTGGGGTTTGAAATGGTCACAGGGCTGAAAGATTCAGAGGCAGATCTTCAAATTAAAAAGCTCCCACGCAGTGAGTATCTGGAGGGCAGAACTGGGGGATGCCAGGAGGGGACAGAGTGAAGGGTCAAGAGACAGACTTCACAAGGTGGATATAAAAAGCACTGTGACGTGGCTGTGACGACCACGCAGTGACGGTGGAGGTGACAAACCACGAGGACCTTGGCCCTGCTCCTCACAGAGTCATTAAATCCCCTCCAAAAACCGACTGCAAACCAACGGGAGCTGCCACACCTGGGGTGGGGCTTTAACAAATGTCCCTGCAGGAGACCCTGGGAATGGTGTCAGCTCTGAATCCTGCTGCTCGTTGGTCCTTAAATGCCATTCACAGCTTGGCCCCTGCTGTGAAGATTTCCCTGTAGCTCATCCCATGCCATGGGAAGGGAAGGGGCCACCCACCCACTTGCTGTGCTACTGCCTGGAAGTGCCAGAGGTTTTCATGGAATCACAGAGCTGGAACAGACCTTGGAGAACATCTTGCTCCAACCTTTCTGCTGTGGGGCATCTTCCACTAGGCCAGGCTGCTCAAAACCAAATCCAGCCTGGCCTTGGGCACTTCCAGGGATCCAGAGGCAGCCACAGTTCTTTGGGAAACCTGTGCTAGGGCCTCACCACCTTCCCAGGGAAGAATTCCTTCCCAATATCCCATCTCACCCTGCCCTCTGGCAGTGGGAAGCCATTCCCTGTGTCCTGTCCCTCCATTCCTCATCCAAAGTCCCTCTCCAGCTCTCCTGGAGCCTCTTTAGGCATTGGAAGGTGCTTTAAGATCTTCCAGGAACTCTCTGTTCTCCAGGCAGAACATCCCCAGTTCTCCCAGCGTGGCTCCAGAGCAGAGGGAATATCTCCGTGGCTTTCTCTGGACTTGCTCCAACAGATTTTGTTCTGGCATATTCAATGGCACTGCAGAGGGAATTCCAGGAACCTCCATTTCCCTTAGGGGTAATGATACTGTGCCCCTGCTTCAGAGGAACATTATTTATAAGCACATTGCAACTCACAGATCATGTCCTAAACTATTTTTAAAACTCTTTTAGTAGTGGAGACCTGACATTTTCTCAGTTTAGCTCATTTTTGCCACTGGCTGGAAAGAGCAAGACAGCCCCTTCCTGCTTTCTGTGCTGGAAGTTTCAGAATATGGGAAATTGGGCTGTAGAAATTGGTGTAAATTTTCTCCACATTCCTTTCTGTGATGGACACTCCCAGATACAGGAGATTCATTTTGGCTCCTTCCCTGTTCACTGATTAGATTGTCCATGGGGCCGTGTCCTAAACAACGCTGCTGCTCTGATCCAGGTGTTTTCTTCAGGTTGATATTATCAATACACCAAAAATACTTTCTGCAACAGGAGTTCCTCCTTGCGCAACCCTTTTTTTTCCTAATCTGTCCTCCCACTCATATTTCTCACCCAGTTAACTCCCTGGTTTAAACTTTACAAATGTCTCAGCTCCACTTGGACCTGTCCTGTGTCTCCTCAGTAGGTGCTTGCCCAGACAGAGCAGCTGCCAAGGGCTTGCATTTTGCTGATGGAACATCTGACATCACCATCCATGATTTTGGAGGGTATTTATCTATAGCCTACAATTAAATCTCTCTGTTGTCACAACTTACACCATTTTGGGATGTCAGAGACTAAGCTTTTCCCTTTTGAAATCTGAATTTCCCTGAGACGATTCCATCACTGGAAGGACCAAACTTGAAGGCAATTCCCCAGCTTCCACCTGCATCTGTTTCCTGGGAATATTCCTCTGTCCATGCTTTTGCTGGGACGCATTTCTGAGCGCCAAAGCTGATTTTTTTAAAGTGATACATTTTTTAATGGCAACGCAGAGAGATTTCTGGTGGGGGTGAGCTCAGATCTGCACTTAGGGAATTATTTGTACGTCGGTATGTGTGAAAAAATGCAGGAGCCAAGTTGTCCCTCAGGCAGGACACTGCTGAGAGTGCAAGGGGCATGAATGGCTTGGGGAGCTCCATGAGATCCCAGCGCTTCCATGGCTGCTGTTGCTACGGAGATGCTTCCCTGGCATCTGCATAGGGAGCACTCCCCTACCATTAACTCCGGGAGAAACGAGGCTCCCAGGTACTGAGTGATGAGGAGACAGACAGAAAGAGCCGGAATTTTAAGGGGGAAAACACCCTTGGAGGCTTCAGCAACCAAACAAATCCAGGGCTCTTCAAACATGCGTGGGACTGAGGAGGGGTTTCCACACCACTGCTGTTCTGGTGTGATGGAGCCTCTGAGCCAGATGCAGGGTGAGGATGGTGAAGAGAGACCTGAACCACTTTTTTTTATTTTTTTTTTTTCCTCTGCATGCAGCAAATATATAGGTCAGGAGATGAGATGCTCTGCATTTGGGTGGAGTTTGGCTTTTCTACTCTTCCCAGCAAGAATTCTCTGCCATGAGCTGTTTTGGAGGCTAAGAAGGAGGAAGCATAAAAATATCAAACAGTTTGGGATGGAAGAGGCCTTAAAGATCATTCACCTCCCCTGCAAAGGGACACTTTCCACTAGACTGGGTTGCTTAGAGGCCCATCCAACTTGGCATTGGTAGGAAAGGTTTCCACAAATGTATCCAGAGCATTACACACATCAAGAGGAAGATCCATGCTGTGTGAAATGGGCTGTGAATCCAGGCCCTGTCCCTTCATCCCTCCACAGAAGAGACAATTCCACATGTTGGAATGTTCCCATGGTGTGGGACTGGCTCAGCACCTCAGGAGATGTAAGATAGGAATGGCTGGGGCAGCTGGAGGAGATGGAACAACACGACTGCAGAGAATTTAAAAATTCAGATCAGAATTAGTCCTCAAGGGGTTTTCAGACCTTGGAGAACCCATTTCTGTAACATGTTTCCAAGGGGGTCTCAGCCCTGGTGTCCTTTGGGTTGTCTTTTCCCGCTCTCCTGCTGTGCCTGGCCTTCGGGTCAGCTCCAGAATCTTCTGGGAAAGCAGCTATCTATGGTCTGGTCCATAGATTTTTTTCCACTTATCTGGAGTGACACGCTGAGCATTTTAAAGTGTCTCTAATAAGTGAGCCCAAAGCTGCCCCTGGAAGAAAGAATTTTGAACTCCCTGATATCCATGTTTATCTTTTCTTCAGTTTGGGATTTTTCAAGGGAAAACAAGGCATTGTTCTTCAGCTCCAGTCTGCCTTAGCTCCCAGTTTTAATCAGACATACACTCTTTCACCTCTAATTATCTGCAATAGTGGCTTAATTTGCATTGTGCCCTTTTCCTGAATTGACACAGTAAAAGCATTTTCTCATTATTTCCCTGACTTTATTCCCTATCATTAATACTGCCAGGATGACTCAGTTCTAGACAAGGATTTTTGTCGGAGAACCTCAGGTTTCCTGTCAGCCCCTGAACCTTTCAGCTGCCTGTTTGGCATGATTAAAGATGCTGCTTTGTTGACCTGTTAATCACACACTTTTCCCAGTGTTGGACCGCTGGGATGCTTTTCAAACTGGGAAATGATGCTGAGAAGTCTCTGGCTGGGTATTAACTGCTCACAGTGATGCTTCCAGAGCTGCTTGTGTTCCAGTCACAGGTGCCCAGGCTGGCACTTCCAACCCTCCCACCATCAACCTGCTCTTGTCCAAGACACAAAATCATGGAATGGTTTGGGTTGAGAAGGACACTCAGGATTCTCTTTCCATGCCCTGTCAAGCCTTCCACTGTCCCAGGTTGCTCCAAGCACCATCCAACCTGGCCTTGGACACTTCCAGGGATGGATCAGCCACAGCTTCTCTGGGACACCTGGGCCAGGGCCTCACCACCCTCACAGGGAAAAATTCCTTCCCAACACCCCATCTATCCCTGCCCTCTTGGCAGTGGGAAGCCATTCCCAGTGTCCTGTCCCTCCATCCCTTGTCCCAAGTCCCTCTCCAGCTCTCCTGGAGCCCCTTCAGGCACTGGAAGGGCTCTAAGATCTCCCTGGACCCTTCTCTTCTCCGAGTGAACATTCCCAGCTCTCCCAGCCTGGCTCCACAGGAGAGTGGGTGTTTTCCTCACCACACAACCCCAATTCAGGAGTGGCTGCAGCATACCAAACACTTATTTTTGGCAGGGATTAAGAATTGTCTAGGATAATCTAAATCTCTTTCCC